TAGCTGGAAAATGCCTACCTATAACTTAAATAATGCCAAAATGTATTCCAAAATGACTATACAAATTTACACTCTCACTAGGAATACAAAACATTTCCTGTTACTCTACATCCTCAATAATACATGCTATCTCCACACTTTAAAATGTTTTGCACTCTGATGGATGCTTAATGCTATTTAACTGTGGTTTGAATTTTTGATTTTTTAATTTAATTTTTTTTTAGACAGAGTTTCCTTCATTACCCAGGGTGGAGTGCAATGGTGCAATCTCGGCTCACCACCCTCCACCACCTGGGTTCAAGCAATTCTCCTGCCTCAGCCTCCTGAGTAGCTGGGATTACAGGCATGTGCCACCATGTAGGGCTAATTTTGTATTTTTGGTAGAGACAGGGTTTCTCCAAGTTGGTCTGACTGGTCTCAAACTCCTGACCTCAGGTGATCTGCCCACCTTGGCCTGCCAAAGTGCAGGGATAACAGGTGTGAACCAACGTGCCTGGCCTGTAGGAGTTTTTAATATGCCCTGGAAGGTAGTCCTTTCATGCTTACTTGTGTTGCAAATGTCTTCCTCTGTTTTGTGGCTTGTCGATGGTTTACCTTTCTGAATACATTAAGTATTCCATATTCTTCATTTTTTTCACATTCTCTAAGTCTTAGTCTAGACTGAGAATGGTATGTTAGAATTTCTCTTTATTACTGTGTTACTATTTATGCTTACATCTCCTGTGGTTTCCGCTTTATGTGTTTCTATGTGTTACTGGCACCAAGTTGTTCTTACGTGAATATTATTACTTTTGCATCATGAAGCATCTTTCTTTGGTTCATTTAATGCCTTTTTGGCCTGAATTTTTCTTTACTGCATATGAAAATACTCTGCTTTCTTTTTGTTTACATTTATTTGATATATTTCCATTCTTGACTCCCCTCCTTTTTATCTGCCTTTCTGAGTCACTGTGTTTTAGATATATCTCTTATATACAGCCTAGAGTTGGGTTTTGCTTTGTAAGCTAGTCTGAAAATCTTTTTTATTTAGTTAGATGAGTTATGTCCGTTTACATAATTGATATGACTGATATGTTTAGTCTCAGGTTTGTTATTTTACTTTATATTTACTGTGTGTCTTTTACTATATTTGGGGTTTTCTTCATCCTGGTATTTAGGAAGATTTGTATTTTTGTTTTAATATTTATCTTTATAGTAATTCACTTATGCTAGTATTTTTGGCCCCTCTTTCCTTTTTTTAAAAAAATTTATGCTTCTGCTTTTGATTTGCTGCCTCTAAAATTATGCTCTGACTCCTCCTTGCTATATGTGAGGCAATCAGAAAACTTGTTCTACTTTCATCTTTTTCTCTCCCTTTTCTTCTCATTTATTTTCAGTGGTGGTATTTCTACTTTGTCAAACAATATAACATTTTTGTACTGTTCACTTAGTCTTATCCCCTCACCTTTGTTTTAGTCTCAGAACTATAAATAAGTTTAACAGTTAACTGCCAGTTATTTTGCAGAAGATTTTTCAATGATTTCTTGGTTGGATGAAGCTCAACCTATACTAGGCCTGAGTACAATATTCCCTTAGTTCTTTCACATTTAAAACTTTCTCTAGAACGAGGATAGGCAAACTAAGGTTTGCATCATGTTTAGTAAGGCCTGTGAGCTAGGAATGTGTTTTCTGTTTTTAAAGAGGTGGGAAAAAAAAGAGGAATATGACAGAAACCATATGTGGCCCACACATGCTTATTTACTCTTTGGCCCTTTACAGAAAAGGTGTGCTAATCCCTGTTCTAGAGCCTTCAAACTTTAATATTTGAAAGATAGCTTGACTGGCTATAAAATCCTTGGCTGACTTCCCTTGGGTTTCTTTTAAATGTTGCACTACTGATGTCTTGCTTTATATGTTACTATTTAGAAGTGTGATACCAACTTAATTTCCTTTTCTTTCTAAACTATCTTAGTTTTGCTTGGGAGGTTGGAGAATTCCTTTAATGTGTAATAGTTTTAGCAGGCTATGTATCTCAGTTGAGAATTGTAGGTCAGATTTTTCTAGGTATACAGTGAGTTCTTTCCATATGAAAATCGGAAATTATTTCAAGAATGTTTTCTAAAAGTATGATTTTAAATAGATCTGTTTCATTGTTTTTTTTTTTCTTTTGGGGACCACGATTAGTCTTATCTTAGATCTTTTTTACTTTTATACCTGCCACTTTCATTCTCATCCATTTTACTCTTTTCATTATGTTTCATTTTCTTAGCTCCTTTTATTTCTATTCTATGTTTTTCTTACTATATTTTTGGTCATATCTGTTCCATCTTGGAAACCTGCTAATTCATTTCTGAGACATTTTTTTTTTCTTATTTCTTGAGTTTGGCTAATCTTAATTTCATACCTTCCTATTTTTCCATTTTATTATAAGTTTTAAAATTTCTGTTTTATGGTGTTCATTATCTACAAATGCTTAATTATATTTAATCTATGTTGGGAGCATTGTTAAGTTTTTCTCTGGATGTGTTTTGATTTTACTGCTCAGTTTTGAGGCTTTCTTCATAAGTAACTGTGTGAATGCTAGATTATTTTGTAGATGTTCGTGTTTATTTGCGTTGGATTTTTCCATTATCCGTAATAACAGATGTTCTTATAGAGGAACAGGAAGTGGTGTTTTGGTGGCTTACTGTGTTTCTTAAATCAGGAGCACCCTCTTCTGTTGCCATAGTGAAATGCAGTCATTTATGTTTCTTTTTTTAAGTAAATGGAGCCTTTTGGGGAAAGGGGTATTTTCTTGGGATTCCTTTCCACTAGCTTAATTCAGTGGAGCTCTTATCCTGGCCATTTTCTTCTTTTTTCTTCCAAACTGGCTCCCAAGGATACGTCTCCCTTCCAAAGCATTTTCTTCTCTTCCAGAAGCTATGTCTTCCCATGATTATTGCCTCTGACTCCGTGTATTTTTCAAATCCTTTCTTTTGAATTCCTCATAGAATCTACCAGATTTGTTTTACTTTGCTCTTTCTCCACTTCAGCTAGAGCCCTCTGTTTTCAGGCTAACTCGTGATTGATGTTTCCTGTTATTTATGTATAGTGCTGACACATAGTCCATATCTGACTCTCTGCTCAGATGTGGGCTCCTGACCACACTCTGGTCTAAAGTTTTTATTTCCTCACTTATATGTAAAGGATTCTGTGCCCAAGTTATGTTGTAGGCATAAATTTGGGTGGTTTTACTTGGCTTCGTTTTATGGTAGTTTGGAAGATTTGTAGAGCAGTTCTAGTTTAGGTGGCTGCCATTATCCTGTGGGAACTCAACTCTATAAATAACGAAATAAATAAGCTAGAAAAATAATACAGTACTCTACGTTTATCCATGGGGATAGATTCCAAGACCCTTAGTGGTTGCCTGAAAACACAGATAGTACTGAACCTTATATATATATATATACACACACACACACACACACACACACACACACACACACACACATACATACATACACATACATACATATACTGTTTTTTCCTATACATATATACCTATGAAGAGTTTAATTTATAAAGTAGGCACAGTCAACAATAACAGAAATAACTAATAATAAAATAGAACAATTATAACAATATACTGTAATAAAAGTTATGTGAATGTGGTCTCTCTCTCTAAAAATATCTTAGTGTACTGTACTGTGGGTAACTAAGAGCACAGAAAGTGAAACTAAAGATAATGGGGGACTAACTGTAAGATAAACAATATAGAAGTGAGAGCTTGATGAAGATAAAAATGAAAACATGAGTTACAGAAGCATAATTGAAAACGATCAATAAAGTGATAGTGATAGAAACATCAACATGATAAGGCTTGAAGTAATTTATCAGAAAAGGGTAGATACTAGTCTGTTCTCACACTGCTATAAAAAAATACCTGAAACTGGGTAATTTATAAAGAAAAGAGGTTTAGGCCAGGTGTGGTAGCTCACACCTGTAATCCCACCACTTTGGGAGCCCAAGGTGGGCAGATCATGAGGTCAAGAGATCGAGACCTTCTTGGCCAACATGGTAGAACCCCATCTCTACTAAAAATACAAAAATTAGCTGGGTGTAGTGGTGCGCACCTGTAGTCCCAGCTACTTGGGAGGCTGAGGCAGGAGAATCACTTGAACCCAGGAGGCAGAGGTTGCAGTGAGCCAAGATTGCACCACTGCACTTTAGCCATTTCATTGATTAATTGGCTCATGGTTCTGCAGGCTATACAGGAAGCATGGCGTCATCTGCTTCTGGGGAGGCCTCAGGTAGCCTTCAGTCATGGTGGAAGGCAAAGGCAGAGCAAGGCTGGTGCAGGAGGAAGGAGTGGGGGAGGTGCCACACACTTTTTAAATGATCACATTTCACTAGAAGTCACTCATTAACAGGAGAACAGCATCAATGGGGAAATCTGTCCCCATGATACAGTCACCTCCCACTAGGTCCCACCTCCAACACTTGGGAATTACAATTTGACATATTTGGTTAGTAACACAGATCCAAATAATATCAGGTAAAGACACAAAAATTAGGAAAGATGAAGGCAATAGAAACACAAACAGAGGAGATAAGATATTAGAATAAAACCTAAAATTCTCTGCTAAAATTTTGATATGTGACAGAACTACCACTTTTCTAAGCAAATATAAATAATCAAAATTGGCTCAAAATGAAAAAAATATCAATAGCCATCTTAGAAAATTTTGAAAGTTATCATAACAGGTAACTGAGACCAGAAATCTTGGAAGGAAATCATGTTTAGAAAGAAAAATAACAGATTTTTTTTTTAAGTTTGAAGTGCTTGTATGTGATGACCAAGTAGTAGAATACAGAGACTGGAACATGGGAGAGAATCTGTAGTTATAAATACAAAATTTGGAGTTCATCACCACTGAATAAAAAGAATGCATTGCTGGTATGCATTACCAAATACCTATGGGCAAGTGAGAAAAGAATGTGACACACTAGCTGATCTTACTCATTTTCATATTTGCTTACAGATAGCTGAAAAAGAGTACATCACCTTACCAGATCACCCTTTACTTCCTTGTCAACCTATTCTTCCTTCAGAAATAACTGCTATCTCTTTATTACAAACTGAAAGTAAGTATAGTACAATCATAAGTACAGATGATTCTGTGAGGTAAAGTAAATAATGCAAATGGGAAGTTGTTTAATGGGTATAGAGTTGCAATTTGAGAAGATAAGTTCTGGAGATGGATGGTGATGATAGTTTCACAACAATGTGAATGTACTAAATGCCACTGAACTGTACATTTAAAAATAGTTTAAATGGTACATTTTGTTATGTAATATATTTCACTACAGTAAAAGAAGTTAAATTATAGGAATTTTATTTTTATTTTTTTATTTTTTGAGATGGAGTCTGGCTCTGTTGCTCAGACTGGAGTGCAATGGCATGATCTTGGCTCACTGCAACCTCGGCTGCTCGGGTTCAAATGATTTTCCAGCCTCAGCCTCCCAAGTAGCTGGGATTATAGGCATGCACCACCATGCCTGGCTAATTTTTATACTTTTAGTAGAGGCAGAGGTTCACCATCTTGGCCAGGCTGGTCTTGAACTCCTGGCTTCAAGTGATCTACCCGCCTCAGCCTCCCAAAGTGCTGGGATTACAGGTGTGAGCCACCATGCCTGGCCAGGGATTTTATATTTATTATTACATATGTTTAGTCACCAACATTATTTCATTTTAAAATATATATTCTAAAATATACATTTGCTGTGTAAGATTTAAGTACAATAATTTTGAATCCCAGATGAATTTACCAAAAGAGTTAAACCAAAGAATATCAGCATAACTACTTGAGTTTTACCAAGTTTCTACACATATATGTAAACGCAGAAAAAAAACACTATTTTATAAATCCCCTTATATATAACTCTTAGAAACTGAAATGACTTCTCTGCATTTTCCACATGATAAATGCTATACTGTAGCAAGAAAAACAGTTCGGGGTAAAATTTATTCTTGCTGCTTTAGAAATTTTTAAGTTTTACACTCCATATTTTAGGATATGAGCCATCTTTCAGCTTTGAGACATTGATAAATATGAGTTACAATCTCTTTAGGAGAGAAGATTATCAAACAAATGAAACAAGTAAAGGAAGAAAGAAGGTATCTGGAAAGAAATAGAGAAGAACTGGTAAAAACAGATGAAAAGCTATTTGAACAAAGCAAATTAAAGCAGTATCATGGTAAAGTTAATATACCTTTTATCACTATAAAGAAAACTTAAGTTTTATAGAATTAATCCTTTTAGAATAAATAATAAAGTTATAATTAATATTTACTGTTTTACTATTTTAGTTTAAGTGGTACATGATTGAGGTAAGTTCAAGATAGAAAACATGAAATTATTATTCAACTCTATATAATAAATGCTTTACATAGGGTTTTAAAATTAAAATTTGAATATTTTCATAACTGAAACTCATTTACTTGTTTATTAATTATTCATTTATCACATGCCTATTGAATCTGGCCACTAGGAGACACTATTAAGACAGACACAATCTTGTCCCTGCCCACATAGATCTTATAGTCCAGTGAGGAAATGATAAGCAAGTTAAGCATTAATGATACATCCTGGCCAGTGCAGTGGCTCACATCTGTAATCCCAGCACTTTGGGAGGCCGAGTTGGGTGGATCACTTGAGGTCAGGAATTTGAGACCAGCCTAGCCAACATGGCGAAACCCCATCTCTACTAAAAATACAAAAATTAGCCAGGCGTGGTGGTAGGCACTTGTAGTCCCAGCTACTGCAGAGGCTGAGGCAGGAGAATGGCTTAAACCTGGAAGGTAGAAGTTGCAGGGAGCTGAGATTGCACCACTGCACTCCAGCCTGAGTGACAGAGTGAGACAAGGATACATCCTGGTGAAAACTATGATAAAGGAATTACAGAATTCTGTGGATGGGAATATAAAGGAAGAACACCTAAATTAGATGGAAGAGATCAAGAGAGGCTTCCAGGAAAAGTGTTGGATATACTTAGGATCTGAAGTATGCTTCTTGGCTCTAAGTCTTCAGGCGTGCTTTTCCCTCTCCCATCTACTTCTCTTACCTTAAGGTCCCCTCTTCCCAGTTTACCTGCCTGTTTCCTATTAGTCATTCAAGATCAGCTTGCATATCACTTACTCTAGAAGCCTACTTTGAGTACTTTGGACTCCTCTGTACTTGATTTTTTTGGGGGGTGTGTGTGTGCCTTGCTTTTAAGTGAATGAATGAGGGAAGTTAAGTAAGTTTTCTTGCAGTACAATTAGCAACAGTGCTTTTAGGACTGGTGGACATAGAAAGATGAGCCAGGATGAAGACAGTACATGATGGTGGCTCGAGAGTTGCTAAATGATTTGAGAGGGCTTCGTTTTGCGTTGTGTTTGAGGATTGTAAGGATAAAAGGTATCTGTGGAATTAAGTGATTTTAGGATTCTCAATTTACAGCAAAATTGTTTCAGCATTAGAATGACTGAAGGTTATAGACAATGTCAGGAGATATTTCTGAAGATTCTGCCTCAAAATAATCCTGAAAGTGGTGGCAATGAGTCAGCTTTGTTGTAGTGTTAAAAAAGCAACTTTATCAGACAAATTAGAACAATGGACTAAAAATCACAAGACCAGGATTGTAACACCAGATCTGCCTTTCACTAATACAAGTTATTTCCCCTCTTTTGTGCCTCACGCTTTCTATTTGTGAAATGGGAATGATTCATCACTTCCTATTTAAACAAGAATATTTCAAGATAAAGGTTATTTATTGGCCATCAAATATTTATTGAGCCTACTATGTGCCAGGCACTGTTTTAACTGCTGGGGATACAGCAGTGAACAAGACAGACATGGCCATGCCCACAAGGAGCTTGCTTCTCAGTGGGAAGAGACAGTAAACAAGTAAGACAGTATCAGCTTTGATCGGAGCTGAGAATGCAATTAAAAAGAGCATAGTAAAGAGTGATGAGGCAGAAAAGAGATGGTTTAGGTAGAATTTTCAGGGAAAGTATCTCTGAGAAGATTAAGATTTGATTAACAGGGAGGTAGGCACAAAGGGAACACTAAATATCCAGGACAAGAAATGAGAATGACCTTGTGGTATTAAGGGCCTGAAATAAGACCAGTGCTGCTGAAGCATGGTATGTAAGGAGGAATGTAGACAGGGATAAAATCAGAAAGTTCAGCAAGGAATAGATGGGCCAAATCAAAGATTTTGGATTTTATTCTAAGCAAGGTAGGAAGCCACTAGAGGATTTTGAGCTAGGATTTATATGATTTAAAAAAATATTTTAGATCAAAATGACTGCTGTATAGAATAGCATGTACAGGGGCGAGAATGAAAGCAGACAGATCAGTTAGAAAGATAATGCAGATTTCAGCCGGGCATGGTGGCTCACACCTGTAATCCCAGCACTTTGGGAGGTTGAGGCAGGCGGACCATGAAGTCAGGAGTTCAAGACCAGCCTGGGCGATATGGTGAAACCCCATCTGTACTAAAAATACAAAAATTACCTGGGTGTGGTGGCACACACCTGTAGTTCCAGCTACTTGGGAGGGTGAGGCAGGAGAATTGCTTGAACCCAGGAGGCGGAGGTTGCAGTAAGCTGAGATCACGCCACTGCACTTCAGCCTGGGCGACACAGGGAACTTCATCTCAAAAAAAAAAAAAGAAAAGAAAAGAAAAGAAAAGAAAAAGAAAGATAAGCAGATTTCTTGGTAAAAGATGAGAATGAGATTGACTAAGGATGTAGCATTAAAGAAGGTGGAATGTGCTAGATGCTAGAAGTATTTTGGCAGTAATACTAGTACAGATTGCTAAGGGATTGGATAATAGAGCATGAGATAAATAGCCAAAATCTTGAGCTAAAGTTCCATTTAGCTATATAATTTTTTATATAGATTTTTGTTTCTATGATAACCTAAAAAAAAAAAAAACTAAACAGATTCTGGTATACTGGCATATAGTTTGTGTTATTATTAAGTTTGTATTTAGAATCTGATTGGTGTCAATGCAGTTTGTTAAACTGGTAGTGTTTAATTTCTTTCTTTTTTTTTTTTTTTTTTTTTGAGATAGAGTTTCACTCTTGCTGCCCAGGCTGGAGTGCAATGGCGCAGTCTTGGCTCACTGCAAGCTCTGCCTCCTGAGTTCATGCAGTTCTCCTGTCTCAGCCTCCTGAGTAGCTGGAATTACAGACCCATGCCACCACAACTGGCTAATTTTTGTATTTTTAGTAGAGACAGGGTTTCATCATACCAGTCAGGCTGGTCTCAAACTCCTGACTTCAGGTGATCCACCTGCCTTGGCCTCTCAAAGTGCTGGAATTACTAGCGTGAGTCACTGCGTCCAGCTGGTAGTATTTAATTTCTAATGATTAATCTGTGGATTAATTTTCCATAATCATGGGAAAAAGTAATATATATATATTACTTTTATAGTTATATATATATATGTTATATATGTTATATAGTTTTATATCTTATATGTATTACTATATATAACAAGTATATATAGTGCTTTTATAATATGTATTACTATTAAATGTATTACTTTTGGATATATTACTTTTATAGTATCTATATCACTGTAAAATTTTTTTTAACAATATTTCTATACAAATTCTATTATTATCCAAAAAAACATCTCTTCCTCAGGTCTAATGTCCTCAGTATATAAGGAGATGAGAAGAGGAGAGAAAGAGGAAAATGGTTTAAATTGATATTGGCTCTGGGGTCCTTTCCAGGATGAAAAATTGAATCCTTTAATAATCAAAAGGCTTTGCTTTCTTTTTTTTTTTTTCAATAGCCTATTTTGGTTGGAAGAAAAAATACTTGGAAACAAAGAAAGTCACAGCATCAATGGAGGAGGTTTTAACAAACCTTCGAGAAGATTTGGAACTCTACTACAAAAAACTGCTCATGCAACTTGAAGCCAGGGAGATCAAGATGAGACCAAAGAATCTGGCAAGCATCACAGGCCGTAAGGTATTACTAAATGTAATAGTAATAGAGAAGTTAGAGAAGTTCTGTTCAAAACACATGCTTTATAAGTACTAGTATTATTATGTAGTATTATCACAAGATGCATTTGACTTAACTTGCTTAAACAATTAAAAAAAAAAAAAAAAATCAGCTGGGCATGGTGACTCACACCTGTAATGCCAGCACTTTGGGATGCCAAGGTGGGCGGATCACCTGAGGTCAGAAGTTTGAGACCAGCCTGACCAACATAGAGAAACCCCATCTCTGCCTAAAATACAAAATTAGCTGGGCGTGGTGGCGCATGCCTGTAATCCCAGCTACCCAGGAGGCTGAGGAAGAATTGCTTGAACCCAGGAGGCGGAGGTTGTGGTGAGCCAAGATTGCACCATTGCACTCCAGCCTGGGCAGCAAGAATGAAACTCCGACTCAAAAAAATAGGAAAGAAAAGAAACTCATGACGTTATGTAATAGGAGGAAGATTGCTGAGGCGATACAGTCAGCAGCTTTTTTTGTTGCCTTTAAGGGGGCCTGATATTTCCTCCCTATATTTTCATCTTAATTTCATTGTAAGACTTCTTTTTCTAATGGTAGCAATAGAGCTGTCAATGGCAAGTAGGGCTTTATATCCCAAACAAGGGAGAAACCTCTCTCTGAATTGTGGAATATATCAATCTTTCCCTTTATCCTGAATAAGGGATCAACTATGCCCACCCCTGGATGAGGAAAAATAGTTGCCAAGGAATGCTATAAGCTGACTGACTTAGACTAATTAGGATTTACCTACAGAGGTAAATCTGGGACAGGGTCCATTTCCTGACTGTGGGAAAGAGATGAATACCTGATGAAGTAGGGCGGGGGACTAACATTGTCTGCTATAGTCCTATTCTTTGGTGGTAGTGGCGGGTTGGGTTATGACACCCAGGAATTTAAAGAAATTATGAAATTTTGATCAGTTTTTTTTTTTGAGACAGCCTTGAATCAGAGACATGAAGTTTATTATTAATTCCACCATATAATTAAACAACAAACAAAAAAAATTTAAGAGGCCATTTAACAATTTGACTTGGGTTGGATCAATCCCACTTACCCAAAAGTGATTTTAAAATATGTTAACTATAATTAAAAGTAAGGATTTAACTTTAGACAAGATGAAATGTTAAAAGTTTACTATTTTAAATAAACTTAAAACCCAAATAGACTCAAGTAATGATTTGTTCATAACAGTTGGTACATTTTTTTAGCATAGCTGATACTTTATCTCACTGTTTTATCAAGTTCAATATGAGAATTTTTTCACAAAGGCAGTTTAAAACTATTAAATAACTTCTTTAGAGAGGACCACTAGAACTCATCAACTTTTCTGGACAAAAACCAAAAAGTCTTCTTATTTTAAATAGGTTTTCTTGTATTAAATGAGTTTAAGATATTATTCCTCTCATAGTAATAGTTGTTGGTTTTTATGGTGCTAATTTAACGGTAACTTTAGAGAAAATGTTTCCCAAAATGCAAGAAATCAACAGAAACAATTTTTCCAAAGCAATTTAGTTTACTTTATGGAATAGGTTATTTTCATGATTTGCTCTTTTGATATTTATCATTTCATAGTTTATGTTCACAAGGCAGTTACAAATAAATGTTTATATGTTACACTAAATAAATGTCTATCCATACAGAATTACCTTATAATCCAGATCACTGAGGTACAGCATGCAATTGACCAGCTTAAGAGAAAACTGGATACTGACAAAATGAAACTCATAATAGAAGTTAAGGTAATTTACATTTTTCCTAATCAGATTACATTTTTCCTGATGATTTTCCTAAATTCATATTATTTAAATATGAATAATGTGTCTTCTACTAGATGTTAAGTTTCCTTCCAGGCAGAGACTATGCCTTAGTAAACTGTTTCTTTCATGGAACCTTTTGTATACCAGATGCTTAGTAGAGGCTTCTGGGCATAACTTTATTTCGTGAGAATTGTGTACAACTAACTACATCATAGGAATTATCTCTGAAGTACAGATGTCTTAAAAAGCTTTTTTGTTGAACAGAAAACAGAAGAAGATTATACATTTTCACACAAGTATCCATACAAGCCAGGAAAATAATCATATGAATGCGCTCATTTCTTTATCAGAAACAGCTTTATGATACATAATAGTGGCTCCGTTCTAGAATTAGCTCTTTTTAAAAATTTTTAAAAAGAAAATTAGAACTGTCCTGGGTTTCAGATAAGAATAAAAATAAATAAAATTTAAAAATAAAAAAATAGAATTTAGCACTGTCCAATAGAACTTCATGTGATGATAAAATGTTCTATGCCTGTACTGTCAGATTGATAACCACTAGTCACTTACTGATAACTGAGCACTTGAAATGTAGGTTGTGTGACTGAGGAACTGAATTTTAAATTTTATTTAATTTTAGTTAATTTAAGTTTAGTTACATGGCAATTGGCTTCTACACTGGACAGTGCAGTTCTAGATTATTTTTACAAGCAGCATTCTCGAGGCTATATAAGCCCTGGATCAGCACTGAGAAGCTTAAAACTTAAAATGGAAAAGGAAAAGAACAGAGAATGATTTTTAACAAAGTATCAGTTAAATATGCACTTAAAAAATAATTTGTTTAATGAAGGAAAACTGTGTTACTCAATATATGGAGATAGAGCCAATATGTAAATTTGTATACTTAACAATAATTGGGTAGGTACCAAGGAGTAATAAAAATGCCCCCAGAGGCTTGGATTATGACTCCCCTTATGCTGTTTTCTTCCTGGAAAGCATGTACATTAGATCCTATAATCTTTGTATATTTTAGCATTATAAATGTCACTCATGATTTGAACCCAAATTAGAATTGTTAGTACAAAAACAGTAAAGACAAGTGAAATAGGAGAAAAAAGAGAACAAAGTTTTCAGCCTATAGGCTGGGGGAAAACATCCTGTATTTAACCATAGTGCCTGATCGACACATAACAGACATTATATAAGAAATTTTATTGATTTCTGAATGATCTCCCCAAAACAACACTACCTACAAGATTCAGAACTAAGGGACAAAAAAACCTAGCCTGAGTCTCTTTCAACCATATTTATTCAAGATAGTACAGCATAAGTAGTGCTCCTCAAAGTTTAATGCGATATCATCTGAGGATACTGTTTAAAAATGCAAGTTCTGACTCAGTAGGTCTGGATGCAGCCTGAGATTCTTCATACCCAACAAGCTCCCAATTGATGCTAATACTGCTGGTTCACAAACAAGACTTGGAATAGTACTGGATCTGATACCAGGTGGTTTGAGTTTGAATCCTGGCTGTACCCACTTCACTTACTAGTTTTATATGCTGAGCAAATTACTTAGCCTCTAAACGTCTCCATTTCAACTGTAAAATGGGGATAAATATTAATAAGTATCTGACTCTACAAAATTTTTGGGGAAAAAAAGAGGTTAATACACTTAGAACAGTGCTTGCCACAGAATAAATACTGTATTTCCTAAATATTTAGTTCCTAAGGGCTAGAAATACAAAAATCCTAAGGGGATTTTTGTATTTTGTTGTTTTCACTATTTTCTTTACACATTGAGAACTACAGGTTTTGAATCTTAAGCAAAACATAAAATTCTTTCTCACTCTAGTTTTTAGAACAGCTCAATTATATTGTCCCTATATACTCATAAACAAGGTTATCTTATAGCATATCTAGCCAGTAGATAATCATGTTTATTAAACAGCATTCATAATCTACACATTTACTGTAGTAATCCAGTGGGAATGAAAGCATAGGCAAATGACAGAAGACAATTAAAGCAGTTACAAAAACCCTATTTATGTGTTAATTATGATGTACTTTTAGAAGGGTATGATGAAGTTCACTTTTTGAAAAGTAATTCTTTTTACAGAGGAGAAAACAAGCAGTTTCAGATTTACGCACATTGAAAACTGAACTGGCACAGAAAAAAATTAATACATCTCTACAATCTCAATAAGGTACATTAATTTAAAACTTTTATTTATCAAAACATTTAAATATTTATTTGAACAGATTTGTTTAACCGTTATTCTCCTTGGCAATGTTTTATATAAAGCATAAGGATTCTCTTTCTGCATTTTGCATGTAGGTATCACAAAATGTTTCAGGAAATACTAGATGCAATATAAAGAAAAATGATGACTGGTTATTTTTAACATTCCAAGTCTTTTATGTATTATTTCACAGTACTATATTTTATAATTTTCATTTCTAATAATCTTAAAATTTAAGAGCTAATATGACTACAAAATTTTTTGCAAAGAATAAATTATTAATACTAATATATTTGCTTGAAAATAAAGACTTTAATTTGTTCATTATATCTTAAAAGAAATCTGGAAATAGAATAGAGGGTATTGAACTTGCATTCTGAGCTATGACACAGATTAGCATCTAAGAATTTAAATTTTTTAATTCATTTTAAATATATGAAGACAACAGTGATCCAGCATATGCTATGAAAATGGTTGATTTTACTCTCATAAACAATTGCGTAAATAGGAAATGTAATATCCTCATAACAGCTGGTTCAATCATCATTTATTCCAATTTACAGGGGGAATATGTGCAGGGAAGCCAGGATTTATGTAAATCTAGAGTTCAAAGATACAGATTTTCAGTCTGTAATTAGCAACTAATATGGGCAGCACAGTGTTGTCTTAATTCCCTTGAGAAAGAAAACAGAGACTTTATTACATTTAGAAAAGTTATTTGTATAAAATTGATCATTTAGAAAGAGAACTAGTTAATCTAACCAGTGTCTTTAGATCATTAAAAGTACAGTGCCGCTCATGCCTATAATCCCAGCACTTTGGGAAGCCAAGGCAGGAGGAGTGCTTGAGCCCAGGAGTTGGAGACCCACCTGGGCAGCATAGCGAGATCCTGACTCTACAAAAAAAAAAGGATACATTGCAGATGTAGGAAAAAAATTTAACCATGTAAATTAGCCAAGAATATATATGTCTATAAATGAAGGAATATGAATAATTAGAAGTATAAGTGAGAGTGAATAGAATCAAGTTCAACTCCAAGTTATTACTAAAAATTTTACAGATGAACCTCATAAAAATAATGTAGTTGGAAAATATTAGGTAGTTCTAACTTACTAATTCAAAATATTACTGTTACATTGTTGTATTTTGTGAATACATTTAATCTTCTGGATTCTTTTTAAATTCTCATTGTCCAGAGGTTTAGTTCAAGTACCTCAGAGAACATAATACTATATGGAGTCAGGAAGCAGAAAAAAAATTTTTTTTTTTTTTTTTTTTTTTTGGGACGGAGTTTCGCTCTT